CCTCCTTTGCCCCTTCCCCTGCCTCTTCCTCTTCCCCTCCCCCTACCCCTTTTTCCTTCCTGAGCCTCCACCTCCTGCGCGTACAACTTGTCAAGGTCCTCCTCCGTTTCTTGCTCCTTTACGATCTTCCTCAACTTTCGCTGTGCCTTGACGGCAACGACTCTGTGCCAAACAGTGTCGAACTACCAGTCAACAAACGTAAACGTATATGTTGAAAAGACCATGATAGAACAGGGGCCTCTAGAACATCTTTCGTTGCGTGATCATTTGATTCCTGCTCTCTCAGCCCTAGTGCTTTCACTGCTTCGTTCACAGAAGTTGTCAAAGAAGCAGGGACAGGCGGCAAAGCTGCCAGCGGTGCACGGTCCTGGCTGAACACAAATGGTGCATGGTTTGGAGACAAATAAGAAAATTGAAAGCGGGGCTCACCTTAAAGGTGCCTTTGGATTCATGATCGCTTTCTATCTCCTCAACTTCATCCTTGCGTTCCACCTTCCGCAGATTCTCTCCCGGTGTGTCGTCATCTGGCTCCGTCGGTGGAACCTTCCTCTGACTCATGCAACTTGACAGGCTCTTCACATTCATCGCAGGTTTCTGTCTCTTCTTCGCCCCCTTCCCCGGTTTCAGCTGGGTTTTCTAAGTCTGTGTTGGGTACAGTCTCAGCAAAATGATGGGCTTCCGGCTGCGTTTCGTACATCATCTGAGTTTCAGCTGTGTCCACAGGGTTCTCCACGCGGGCCTCCTCAAGAGCATCGGTGTGAAAAAGTGATGTATAGTTTAGATAGGAAAACTGGGACAAGATTACTCAATACCTGTCCTTGTTCCATTTGGAATTGTTCGATCTACCTCTTCCACGGGTTGCTCTTCTTTTGCCATTTGGCAATAAGACACCACTCTCCTGTTTGAACGAAGCAAGTGAATGAAGGAAAAACCTTTATATTCATTAATACCTACGTGCGAATCAAGAAATGAACAAAGCTCCTCATAGCTTTGCCAGATGACAGACTTGATGAGTTCCATGTGGCTATTGCCAGGTCTGCATGACGGGGATTCAATACTTTGGGCGGGTATTGCGCTACATATGACATGACTTTCCAAAAGCAACCTTGCCTTGTGCCACGGTTTCTCTGGAATCTGTAGTGGCAGTACGAAGCCAAGGCACGCTGCAGCTTGGCTTCGCTTTCTGCCCAAGCCTGAAGCCAGGCGCACATGTTCAGGGGTTGGGTGGTTTGGGTCATAGGCCTGGTGCTTGAAGCGTTCCTCCCAACGGTTCAGCCGATACGTCACGCTGATATAGGTCAGGGCTTCCTTGCCGTTCATCAGCTAGTAAGCAAACTTCGTGCAACTGACATCCAAACTGTTATTGATATACCCTGGAGTCCTCCATTATCTTCTGTGTTGGCGGAGAGCTGGCAAACAAAGCCAAATATGCGCAAGCAAAATCGCAGTTTTGCTTGGCCTGCCAGCTTTGACAAAAGTGCAGACAATGAGTTGACTGCAACAATCTCCACATGGTTGGATTGGCAGCCTCAGCCTCACCGATAGAATCCTTGTCCAAGATCAAGAAAGAAAATTTTGGAACCTCACCGCGGTTAAGATCCCGGACAGACCCAGACAAACTTTGTTCTTGGGGTTGGACCTTCCGTGTGTCGACACTCTTGCCAAGTCGAACTTTGAGAAGTTTTCGTTGTTCTGTCAAATATCCTGGCTGGGTGATCAGGTCCTTGTAGAACTCCTGAAAGCCACCAAGCAAGGAGTCAATCTATAATTCTTTTGTGTATGGGGCACCTTCTCAATTGGCTTAAGGCTGTTTGTAAATTGTTGGCCTTTTGCCTTGCATAGCATTTCAATGCAAACCCTTTCACAAAAGCCAATCTTTTTTTGAAGAGACCTGGACAGGGACCTACTGCTTGAAGAACTTTCAAGCCCCATTTGAAAGCCAAAAACTCCTTCAAGATTTCCAGCTGCTCTGCAGGACCATTGCCGTGCTCTACGGTCATGACGTGGCACTTGGAAGCAGCGATGTCTGACTAGATAGAATGGCATAGAATGGCCTTTGAGGGGTCATTGCTCATGGTGATAGATTAGCCTGTTCTCCTTCGACGTCGCACTTAGATGCTTGAGCTGCAACCTTCGTGTAGCAAAGTGTTCTAGCCAAAGTGCAAATAAGAATTACCTGAATTCTTGAACCACTGTTTGGATTTGTTTCGTGCATCTTCCAGCCTCTAGACGAAGTATAGTTCTCCTGATCATCTGAAGATGAATCAATGGCTGCAGCTCCTGGGCACGTTGAAAGATCGGCCGACCAACTTTGGAGATGGGCCGGTGAAAAAGAAGAAACTGAGGGAATGGCTCTTTCTCAATGCTTTTTGCATGCCCCGCCGTCTATCACCTGAGAAGTGAACAGGTTCATTCTAAGGGAAACCTGCGTAGTTTTCCATTGCAATTGAGTCACATCAGCTATCATCAGCTCGCTCCCACGGTTGCTCCAAATACATGGGCCCGCACCAGTCGCGCAGTGGCCGCGCAGACACTAAAAGAACTATCTTGGGTGTTCAACATGTTTTAACGTGTTTGGCATGCGATGCTTATCAATCATATCCACTTATGTCCTTTGCACTGGTCCCAATACACGTAAGTCCTCACGGACATGAGCCACAAAAGCCGTTGGACCTGAGGAAAAGCCGTTGGTAAGGATTCAAAAGCCTTCCTACAAAGGCTATTAAAACAAAAGCCGATGAAGGCTAGGGTATACATTATTACAAATAAAACCTCCAGTGAATCCTCCCCACGCAAGAACTGCCGTACATATACCGTTGAACGCGACCCATCCAAACATCACAGTCCTCCCCCCAAACAACACTGTGTTCGGCCGTTTTTCAGCGCCAAGGAGCCGCCACTTCCATCCAAACGACGGGATTGGGGGAGCCTGTTCGGATCTGTGTTCCTGGAGGGGGGTCCTGTGGTGCCAGACGAAGTCGTGGAGCACAGTGGTGGAGGGTGGAGCACGAGGGTCTCCGTCTATCCTATTGTTATTACCACGAACAGTGGATGACGATGGTTATATAGTAAAGGCTTTGATAATTTAGTGATAATGGTCTACTGACTGCTACATACAGGATCACACAGGTCATAGGACAAACCCAATGAGCACGGGTTGGAGTCAGTTGCTAAATCACCTGGGCTTGTTAGGAGACATCCTGAAACATGCTGCCTGTATGCTTGTTGCTAGCCTCCACAATGACAAGCACGCATGGCACAAAAAAACCTGGCGTGTAAAGTACACACTGTGGGTTGGTGGGTCTTAACTGGCCTTCTTTCCTCAGGAAATCCCAAGAAATTTCAAATCTCAGGCCTATTGCCACAAGACTGGAGTCCTATATTCATTAGTCTGGGATTCCGGTAGGCACACGCTCGCAACTTTGTAAAACATTTGAGCCTCCTTCTCTGAACGTCCATGAGAATTAGTAGGTATACGGTATGAATTAAAAAAAAAAAAAGAATATAAAGGCAGGCATATCAATCCAGGCATATTTTATATATATATTATATATATATATTATATTATATATTATATATATTTTGTTATATTATATATATATATATTCAATATATAATATATACTCTTGACGTCGTCCCAGCCTTTCTCCCCTTTGGTCGCCTTTGCCGACCGGACTCCCCCTTTGGTCCCTTCGCTCCTTCGGCGGCGGCGGCTTCTCGTCGTCGCTGTCGGGCAGCGGGCCACCTGGTAGGTCGCCCGCCTGGTGGAGCAGTGACGTCACAGGTCACATGTGGCCCGGTCACGTCCAGGTCCTCGACGGCCAGTGGCCGTGGCCCAGTCGAAGGCCTCTAAAAACCAAACGGAACACTGGTTTTTTGATGTCTTAAAATCAGATGTCGAAATAAATCAGATGTTGTCCATCTTTCTACCTTCTCTTTTCAATATCACACCTAATTACCTACCCAGGCCATCCCAGGCCCTAGAACAGACCGACCGACAACCACACCGCCACCGCCTCCTCTTCGGCGGGCTCTTCCCTCCAGGCCCTCTTCTTCGCGGTCGAGGACGCCAAGTTATTCACCCGTCGCTTCATGGCGCTCCGTCCCGCGACGAGGAGTCGGTCAGCCGACGGAGCGTCACCGCGGCGCGGTGACGGAGCGTGGGGAGCAAAGCAGAATGGACGAGGAGCGTGGGGACCGAGCGTTTGGAGCAGTCTCTTGGGGGTGGATGTGGGCTTTCTTTTGAGCAAAGCGCTTGGTGAGGATTGTTGGTGGCCTGAAATTGGGGAGTTTGGAGCTGGGACCCAGCAATTGCATCCAGAGATGTTCAGAGTATCCACGACATTCCATAAAAAAGGGACATCCCTGAAAGTCGAGCCTCATCTTGAAGCGACTCTAGTCTTGAAATGTCTTGAAGCGTGTTGTAAGTTTTGCCAATGCGACATCCCGAGAATGTATATTGTTGACATTGGAAGTTCAACTGGTGAAGTGGTGCCGGCAGCCAGGCTCAGCACGGAAACAATGGCCGTCAGATGCTGTCCAGATCTCTATCAAAGCCGTTCTGCTGTGTGGATGAATCAGCTGGGAGTCGGAGCATGATTACAGTGACCACCCGGTTTGACCCAGCAGCATGTTGCGCCCGCTGATCGACATGTGCCGCTGCCCATGTTGACTCATCGCTTCTTGCTTGAGCATTAAAGAATCATTGAACAACTTGGTCAAACGGTTGGTGTACGCTAACACCAACACCCAGGTGCACCTCATAAACGGGGGACATCGGCATGATTTGGCGTGGTTCAGCTTCCGTGTACTGTATGATCAATCCATAAGAAAAGTGCACATTTACAATCCTGCCTGGCTCCTCATGCTCCTCTCCTCCCTTGAACCCTTCAGACCAAAGTCGAGTATGCTTGGGGGTTCCACCTTTACAACCTCCAAACGCGGCCTTGCTTCGCCCCCAGTGGCTGCCCGATCGATCCCACCGTGGGCCGCCCGCTTTTTCAGGTCTCGTCGGGGCCGCAGCGTAGGATGCTCACTTCGAAGGGCTTCCCACCTGGGCCGCACCGAAGGAGCCAGTTACTGGGCTGTGGATGGCGAAGGAGTGGAGAACTCTCGGCCAGTGGTCGGTTTGATATGGTTTGATTAGATGAGTCTTTAGGCATTTGGGGGGGACTCATGCTGACTCTATATCAAGATCATGAACAGGACACACAGACAGGGGCATATTGAATATATAGTTAAGGTGGTGGGCACAGTGTCAATCTCGAAGAGGGCATCAATAGACATGGGGACTGCAAAACCAACATTGGTCTTTCCAAACTCTCAATCTCTGTGTGCACGATTCCAAAGCCTCCTCCAAAGCAGTACAAAAAAAACCTACCAATGAGAGCATGACAACAAATGACTCTTGTCTGATGCCGTTGTCCTTTCTCTATCTTTCTTTTTTCGTAGGCTACCTGTTCTGACTCTATCTGTTTTTTCTCTTTCTCTTTTTTCTTTCTGTTCTGACTGCGCGGCCTACAAGTACCTGCCCCTCCACCCTCCTCCGCCGTCCTCCGCACTGCTTGACCCCGGCGCCGTCCACGCGCGCCTTTCAGCGCGCTGCGCCAGGCGCCCTGGAGGTCCCCGAGGGCGCCGTCCACGGCCATGAGCCGATCGTGGCGCCTGGCGGAGGTGCGAAAGACACGCCGGCGGGGGGATCGCACACCGATCGTAGCAGGAAGCGACGTGAAACGTAGCTCCTGGCATTACTAATAGTAACAATTGAGGAGCTACCACCAACAAGGGCATCGCTATGCCGCTATGCATCGCTACTAGTAACAAAGGGCATTGCTACTAGGAGCCAGGAGCTGCTAGGAGCCATTGGCATCGCTACTAGTAACAAGGTGCATCGCTACTAGAAACAAGTTGTCAAAGGATTTGGATTCAAAAAATGGTCAAGTTGATTCGTTGAGTTGACGCTTTCACTATATGTTTCACTGATAGACTATGACTATTACAGAAGTAATGTTTCAACTTCCTTTGTTGGTCTTCATTGGAAGGTGTGACGCTGGGGACCCTCGCTACGCACATGCATTTCCACCCGGTTCAAATCTGGATCCCATCAATTTAAAGAGACTTCATCTCCGTTTTTGGAGGTGTCTCGGGTGAGGATGCTGGTCCATGATGCATCATTTGCGCATCCGGCGGAGCCCTAAACATGTTGTCCCCAACTTCACCTTGCAGGGCAAAACCTGTAGAAGGTTCGATGAGCAAGGCAGACCCCATCGGAGCCATCGTGCATTGGGGTTTGGTAGGTGGTTTGGAATAGGTACCCCCTCTTCCGAAACCGCCAGCTGGTCTGTCAATATGAGGAGAAATGCAAAGGAGGTTCTGCAAAAAGGTTCCAGCTGCCAGCTTGCTGCTTCCATCTACTAGAGCCAACCGTCAAACATCATACCAGCATGATCAAACATGCACACTTACTTGTGGGTTTGCAACTCATGCCAATATCTGTCAAGAAACCACCAGTTTCACCCGAAAGGGAGTCCTGCGAATCTCCTCTCAGCAGGTTCATCTGTTTCAAGGATCTCTTTACTATCTCAAGCTATGACGTGTGAGTCAGGGTGCCCATCCACTCCACTCACATGCGCATCATGTCTGTCCCACCAAACCACCCACCCACGTGAGCTTCACCATGTTCTCCGCCCGGTTCGACCCCCCGTGGCGCGGTGAAGTCACGTGAACGTTGCCGGTTCGAGCCTGAGCCCTATGCTGGGGATCGTCAAAGTGGAATACAGAGACACACTCTGTGGCATGGAGGTAAAGGCAGAGCGAAGCTCCTGGCAGATGTCCGAGCTGACACCCCTGAACCGATCCGACCAGGCTTGGACCAGGTGATAATCAACGGCAAAGACATGCTGCAACAAATCATTGAACTTATAGCAAAGTTGCGTATCAAAATTGGGCACTTTTACTAATACTGGAGACTGGAGATACAAATGTTCCCTACAATTCCAAGTCTGCTTGATTCACGTTCGCCACTGGACGGTTCGGACGGCCGTTGCCTCGGCGGACCAACTTGTTGCAGGTGACGCGTCGTTGCCCACGAAGGCGGAGAATCATGGCGAATCCCATTGGATTGAACATGCTGACCATGAACCCAAACCGACCCTTGCAACCTGGGTTCTGACCAACCGACTTGCGTTACATGCATCGGTACCGGATTCACTGCGTCTTTCAAAACCCCAACAAAACAAGTACCGACCCACGGCCATGTCATGAGTCAACTGTTGTCCAACCGCTTCATCTCCGACCCGCAGCGCTGTCACCTCGACCTCGGCATCGCTCAGGGACAAGGTCCGCCACGGGGGGCGCTGCAGCAGGAGAGTCAGCGTCTGCTGAGGCCTTTGCGTGGGTGATGAAGAGAGTGTCATGCCTTTTGGCAAACATCAGAATTTGATCGTTCAAACCGACTTGGTAACTTGGGGGACGCGCATTGAAATCTGTGACTCGGTGGTTGACATGAATGAGCATCTGGTCGTTGTCATTCATCCATGTTGAATGTGTCCTACTCTACAAAGCCTAGGCCGCTGAGGTTAACTCGGAATTGATGAAATGTGGCTTAATCATGCTTTTATAATCTGAACTGCAGCTGCTACTTCTTTGCACACTTGCAATCCCGAAGCTGCATTTGAGCACAAAAAACATTTGCAGAGGAGCAAAGAACAAAAAGGCAAAGCTGCCTGCAAAGGTTGCCTCACAGTTTCTTTGACCTACCTACCTACCTTCCTTCCTTCCTTCCTTCACTCAATCCTTCCGTATCTGAGGCCACTCATGAATAAACAGCATCCAACACTTAACACCTGAAGCATGTTGAAAAAAGTCAACATCTTCCTCCCTGTAGCATGGAGGGAAAACCCTACACAATCACCTTGTCGACGACAACGTCTCACTCGCCCAAGCCACGATTGCAGGAGGTCGGCCATGTCCGAGGCCTAGACACATTCGTGGGGCGTCGCAGTGAGTGTGGCTGGATGTGTGTCGATCCAAAGCAGCCATGCTTGTCATCATGACATGTTTGGCATTATGGATAGATGATAGAATAGATGATAGATTGAGAATAGATAGAAGAGATGTCCAATTCTTGCAGCCAGGTACTGGCTTGGTGGTCGCTTTGGTGGCCGCTTCGGATGCAGGTTTTTGGACATCCATAGTGCCATGGCTGCTGAGAATGGGTCTCTGATATGTATGAGTTGACTGAGAGCATGGCAAAGTCTATATGCACAAAGTCAGTTCCTCTTTCAAAGATCAAGATCAACCCATTTCGCAGGTCGGTGGGTCCACTTCATGTCGCCAAGAACCCCCTCCCACGGCCCTGGAAGAAAAGAACACCTCAGGTCTAGAAGGCTCTACAAATCAGATTGAGAAACCCATAGAGGACATCCCATCATCCAGGTTTGACGGTTCAACCGTTACAAACCGATGTATCACCGGAACCATGGTGTATCCTTTTTCCATGTGATGTATGGCGGTGGGGTGAAAATCACTCGGCTCGCTCCAAACGTCTGGTAACCCTGGAAGACGATCCCATGGACCCTGGAAGACTAACATGGTTGGTAGAGGAAAACACTCGGACCCAGGGAGCCAGGACGGACCCGGGTCTATGTGAGTTTTCGGGAGTGTATATAGGTTGACCACAACCTTGACCTCAGTTGACCTCCCCTAGTTGACCTCAGTTGACCACCAAAACCCTTGACCTCAGTTGACCTCCCTTGTGACCTATCCGTCAACCAGTTGACCCTCTACCCCAACACAAAAAACGTCCGTCCGTCCCGCCTGACCACTGGCACGATTGACCTTCACGATCAAGTCCCCCGCCTCCACACACACACGGATGGTCTAGTTCCCACGTGGATCCAGTCCCTTATTGGTACAACATAGTAGGTAACCATATGGCAACCAGTGGTTCCATCAACGAATCATGGGATTCACGCGGAAAAAGCCCTGGCTTTTCCACGTCGTTTCACATGTTCTTCGGGTTCCTCACGCGTGCAGCAGCGCTGTGATGCCAATCTGTTTCATTCATGTTCGATCAGATCACAGTACAAGGATCACTATGGTGGGACTCCTGGAGTCCTTTTTTTGAGTCCTGGACGTGTCTTTTTCAGAGCTTCCCGAACGGTGAAAAAAGCCGACAATACTCACTCGGTGGGGCTTCAAAGCTGGAAACCTTTGCAACTCCTGGCCAAGACAGTAAAAGTCTTGAAACATCTTGTCTGAGAGCCCCGTCAATGTCTATATACCCCAACACATTGGTACCTGCAGAGATCCTGTGCTCAGCTACATCTCTATATGTCTTGAGGCGTCAAGCTCCGAAAGCATTGTTTCATGGTTACCTAACGTATTGACAGTCAAAAGGCGAGTCATGGACAAATTGACATACCCTCTCTGAAAAAAAAAAAAAAAACTGGTAGCAATTGCGATTGACTTGGCAACTGCAAGATTGACATGGTACCAGCTCTTACTCAGACCCAAGAGACTGCTCTTGGACAAGGCTCCCATCAGATGTGAGTCTGAAAAGTGGGACAAGCTCAGTTTACAATCCTCGTCCCCATCCAGCGGGAAGGCTGCAGTTCCAAATCAGTCTCAACATCATTGATATAGCAACCGTCATAATAGTCTTAGAACCCCAACATGAACCGCATGAACGGATGTGAGATTCTGCCACGACCGCCCGCCATCTATTTCGTGGGGACCTCCAGTGCACAATCAATTCGTTGAGACTTTTGGCCGTGTTTGGGGTGCCCAAAACACCCCGTCTGATGGCTAACGTCTGTCTGTCTCCCCGTCTCGCCTGTATCCGCCTCTCTGGGGCCGCTGTCTGATTGTAGCGATCCACCTCGTTTTGGGCGGAAGCCATGGTTGTCTCGTGTGCGAAATCGCCTGCAACGGCCGTGGCCTCATCTTCTTTTCGGGGTGTTCATTCAGCTCCGTTGGGAATTGGCTCGTTGGGGGTTGGTGAACTCAGCAGTGCAAAGCGGGAGTGCTCAAGCAAAGCAGGAGACCAAAACCGGACATCACGACCTCCACAACATCAACCCAGGAAGGCCGGGAGGAGTCTGGGAGTGCCAAAGAATAGCTCACATGCGTATGTGAAAAAGATTGAAAAAGGACACTCTTGGTCCATTGGTACTATAAGGACCTCAAACTTCGACACCGGCCCTCACGTCGTTTGGCGGGAGACCATGGCAGACCCGTGCTCGGGTCGGACGGACTCGGGTCTCCCGGCCACTGAGTCTGCATGCACCTGGCAGATCTGTAAGACCGCCTCGGAGGTCACCGGCCACGGCGAGGGAGGATGGGGAGAGGATCACCTGGGGGGAGGAGTTGATCCGACAAACTGCGATCCGCACCGATTCACCGCGGAGGGCTGAGGACAGTCGAACGTTGGCTTCACTTGAGGTCGCCGGTTGGCTTCACCGGGACGTCACGGACTCGGTCCGGACCTTCGGAGTGTTGGGCAGTTGGCCGGTGGGGCGTTATCCCGGTTGGTGGCGGTTGGTGGCAGCGGGTCCGATCAGTCCGCTTTGGTGTTTGGCACGATCAGCCGGGCCGCCCGGTTTTTGGCGAAGGCCAGGTGTTGTTCAACCTGGAGCCCCCACGACCGACACCGAACCGGTCTCCTGGTGCCATGACCCACAACAGCCCACATGGGCGCCCTTCAGATTCTTCAGATCCACGAGTCTCAAACCAAGGAATAGCAGGGAACCATCCGAAAACACTGCGTCCGAGGGTCTGGATCCAGAAGATCCAAGTCAAGGCCCAGCCTGGAGCCGATCGCCAAGTCGCTTCGGCCGCTTGGCGCGGCCGAACTTCGTCTGGGAAGCCCAGGTGATGGTGATGGAAGGTGGTCCCTGGTCCGTCCCCAAGTATTTAGTGGAAGCCTTAGCAAGTGAAACTCAACAATCCCAGGGTAGAGGATATCCAATGACAATATATATATATATATATCGTCCACACTTGGCACGAAGCAGCATGCAAGGAAAAATCCCTCAAATTGGAAGACTCATCCGAGAACATCCAGTTCCCCTTTCAAAGGCTCTGGAGCGGCCCGAGGCTGATCCTTGATACCCGGAAAGCCTGCTGGCTGCTAGCTCAAGCAGGCTGGCCCATGCTCATCCTCAACCAAAAAACACCACTTCTTGTCAACAATGTTGAAATAAATGTCTTATATAACATGTCAAAACAAACTGTCAAGAATCTTCAAAAACTCTCATGAAACCCGAAGCCAGCTGTCGGCTCCATGACTGCTCTTTCGGTCTTGCGTCCACAACCCGACTCGGCACATGTCGCTGAAAAATGCCATGCTCCAGTTGCATCTCTTCCCCACCCACACCCGCCGGTGTTTTTCGCGAGAGCCAACCTCTGGTCGCACGGGCGGTTCAAGGTCACGGTCCAATAGCTCGCGTCGGTGCCCAAGAGCTCCCTGCGAAGCGGAGACCGCTCAAGCTCACGTTGGCGCTTGGGAAATCAACATGCAAAAACTACCGACTTTACCCGCAAAAACGCACGCAAAAGAACGCAAACAAAACATCAACATCCCATTAAACAACACATACAACCCGCAAATCCACAAAAGTCGTGGAGCAGTATTTCCAAATGGTGGAATCCAAGTGGAACGGTGGATCGCTGGCCTGCCGAAACAATGGAAACCACTAAAACATATATATATATAAATACTAAAACCACTGAAAAGTGGAAACCAATGGAAACCACTAGATGTTTCTCGGAAAATTCATCTCCAGAATGTATTCTGCATATTAAATTCATGAATATATTGCTGTCTAACAATTGATTTGTGATATGTGTGTTATGTGTTATTTGTCGACCATATACAGTCCAAAGTGCTGCAAAACCATGCAGTGCAATAAGTCGTGTAAGCAGCCCAGCAGCCTCTGTGTTGCCATACCTGTTTCCAGCAATCCCGCATCCAATGGACGACAAGATTCGGAAGGCTTTTTCCCCAAACCTTCAGTCAAAATGTAGTTAGATCTATTAAGTGATAAGATAAGTGTAACTTAGGGTAGCCTGAATGGTGACCGATGGTGACCCCATGTGACCCTCCTTCGGCTCCTCCGAAGTCCAGCGGCTAAGACAACGCGGCCGTGTCGCGCCTCGTGGTCTCCGCGCGCAGCGCGAAGCGCTGCCGGGACATCTCCGCCAGCGCGATGAGCACCGTCCTGAGCTGCAAGCACCAGACGTGTCCGGTCGTGTCCGAAAAGAAAGGGCCGGTCATCCGGTGCCGGTGATAAAACATCTCTGAAGCCGAGATCCAAGGGGTCGACCTCGAGCGTTCGCCATCTGTCGTGTCTGGGAGAAGTACTTTTGGCCTCACAACTCTTAAAACATTATATAATAAGTAATATTGTATTCAGCTCAACCCCAAGGAACCTTCGGCCAGTCGGCTGGCCAATCTCTATAGTGACTAGTGAACCTGCTATGCTCCTAATCGACACTGCCCATGGTCTCAGGGTACTTACAAAAGTTCTGAAGAAGCTGGAGCTTCATCCCCTTGACCTGGTTTACATATTTTAAGGATGGCTAAGAAAAATTGTAAAAACCTGGAGGTTCTAACATCAGGTAGCTCGACCTCCCGGAAAAGTAAACCAAGGTGTCCTGGTTTGGATCCACAACCATATATATGGCTGTCCTTGCTCAGTTTCTGGCATATTGTGCAAAAGCCTTAATTATGCTGCACTCGCTAAAACCAACCCTTTAAATAGCCAACTGAGCTTTTACAAACCAAAGAAGACTGCAGCCTACTTAGTTTTCCAGTTGATTCCTCCCATTCAACCATTTCCTCATACTCACCTTCTCGCCCAGGAGCGGCACATAAAAGACCTGGGCCTCAGTTAGTCATGACAACGGAGCTGTTATGGCACCCCACGACGTTGGGAGGCGAAAAAGTGTGTTCCATGGGTTCCATGTGCGGCAAGGAGGCAAGAAAAGCCTTTGGGCAGGGGCTAAAGCGAAACAAATCCAAACAACCGATGCACATCGATAGACTCATATTGACTGATTGAACGCTCCCCTCCAATTGTTCGAGATGTTTGACCATCCAAGTATGGGGTGTGTGACCATCCATGTCAGCATTGAACCAGGTGGAAGACACGGACGACAAGCTGTTGGGTTCATGTACAGTAGTGCCATCGGAATTACTGTCAAATTCTATCCGGAGATTCCGTGAAAACGAAGGTCTCCACCAAACAAGTGCATCACTGAAATGGCCCCCTTGAAACCAGGTCTGTGCATTCTCAAGGTCTGTGGCCTGCGCAGAATCGAAGCGATACAATCCGATACACATCTTCCATTTTGGCACAGCCATGTGTGGGATGCTCCCCACCAAAATAGTGATGATTCTTTTTGGCTCGTATTACCAAGATATACCAAGTAGCCTGCAGCTTTTCCTCCGGTGGAACACTTCTTGAGCAATTCCAACATGTCCATGAGTCCAACTTCGCTCCAACTAGGGTCCCACACAGGCAACCACTGCCTCCTCTTGATCAGCTTGAAGCTGTTGCTGAAGAGCCAAGAGGCACAAACCTGCACCAGCTCAAGTGACAGGATTGATCTCTTGGAGACTCCGCTCCTTTGGCTGCGGCTGGCGTTTCAACCATCCCATCTGATCCCATTGGAAGAACCATTCCCAACGAAGGACCGGGGAAGTTCAAAACTAGAAAAACCATGACCTGGGTGTGTATTGAAATAGGGAGACCTCCCACGGAAGACCCCCTTTGTTCGCAAGGAAGACAGGCCAAGTTACCCATGGGCAATGGGGTGTCTCCCTATTGTAAAATACACATCCACATGTCTCTTCTCCCGACCTGTCCGGGCGGATGATTTGGACAAGTCACGTGGCGAGTGGGACCTGGGAACTCCGCGGTCTGGACGATGGCGGCCCCGATTGCCCCGATTGCCCGAAAAACCCAGGGTGAGCTTCCATGGCCAAATGTCACCGCTCCAGGCAAACGTTTCAAGAATTTTCAACCAGGGTTGTTGCTTTCACCATCTTTCACCCAAACTCACATCGCTAGTCTGTGCGCGGTGAAGCTGTCTACCTTCACACAGGTAGCTTCCCTGGCAGAAATATACTTCAGGCTGTGTATGTAGTGCTGCACAAAAGGACATGCAACTCTTAGTGGGTAACACACGTGGACCATCTGTTTGGGGTCACTGCTAACACCCCATACACACATCTCCACCTCCCAACCAAAGAATAGCAGCCTTCCCAGAAGCTCCTATCCCAATGAGCATCCCAAAGCCTCCCTGGAACCCTGGCCCGGATAGAGACGGCCTGGATGGCCCCTTCAGCCCTGAAATAGATATGTTACAAGTATTATAACTTTATATATATATATATATAACTTAACTGTGTTCATATCTACGCCAAAACTGAAACACAAAAAACACAACTGGCTCACCTGGCCTCAGAGAAGGCCCGGAGCGTGGCCATGAGACCCACCACCTCCGAAAGCACCGCTCCGGAGAGAAAACACCGCTCCGGTGGTCTTTACCCAATCTGATTATTTCCGAACTCCATCAACCATCGAAAGTTTGGAATCCTCAAAAACTTTCTCAAAAATCCCTATATTTGCTGAGTGATGAGAGGACGTTTTTTAAGAATGGAAGGCCAGAACGATGGGCTTCAGGAAACAAAGAATGAGGTCTTTGATGGTCTTTGTTCATTTGGGTGTGGACCCACAACCCATGGGGTTTTGATGGTTTTTGTTTTTGTCAATGTTTTCCTTTGCTCAGAGGGGTCTGGATGGGGGACCCTCCCAATTCCACATCCCATGTGGGAACACCGATTGGTCCAAAAAAGGTGGTCGAATACGCTCAGGTTCTGAAGTCGAAAAGAGAACTCCCCCCCCTGAGGCTTCTGACTTCGAAGTTCCCTGGAGGCTTCGAAGTTCGCTTAGCTTTGGACTTTGCGAGTCGTCGTTCGACACAGAGAACTGGTTGTCAAAGGTTCTTTGGAGACAAGAAACTCTGCCCCAGGATGGACAACTCTGCATCACTTCTGTTCCAAACCGAAAAACAGTCCCTTGTTTCAAAGATGGTCTTGTACACAAGCCCTGAGGTTTGAGCTGAGACATGGAATCATGGAATCGAATGAATCGAGAGAAACAACGCCGGCCAACTTCCTGTGTGTGGAAACCCTGTACTGTAACAATACGGGAATTCTGCACAAGGAAACATGATACAACATGATACAAATACAAGTACATGATCATATCATGTATGTCAAAAAAACAAAAAATTGGCCGGACATCCGACATCCCGACGCCTGCCATTGAGACAAACATCAACCAGAACATGGCCCTCATCTCTCGCCTGCCCCCGCTGCAAGCCGCCCTTGAGACCCTCCTGCAGCAGCCAGCTGGCCGAGATGAGGCGCCGTTGCGAGCCCAGCAGCAGCGGCAGAAGGCCGCTCCAAAGCCAAAGCCTGGCACAGGGACAGGGAGCGCGGTGGGCAGGTGGTCTGAACAGCATTGAAACCGTACAAACATTGCCAAAAAGGCTCTGGAGAATAGCATGCTTAAAGTTGCACAGAGAAACCAAATTCGGGGTGTGAAAAAAAGAAAGGAAAACAAACTTGAAGCCTGAACTCCAGAATTATCCGGATCCAGAAAAAATGAGAGTTGTCCACCATCATTCTGCTTTTACCACTCGCGCGAAACGTCATCTCAAACACCGAACACTCAGGATCAGATATCAGAAGGAGGCACGGGTGAGAGCACCATGGTAGCAGGCAGCAGTCCGCGAAACGTCATCTCAAACACCGAACACTCAGGATCAGATATCAGAAGGAGGCACGGGTGAGAGCACCCATGGTAGCAGGCAGCAGTCCGCGTACAATCACCCAGGAAGAACCAAAAGGGTGCGCAGCAGTCCTCACACTTCTCACCCTGGTTCAACCATCCTGAAAAAAAAGATGGAACATGTCCAATGGCGGCCAGAGCTGTCCAAACGCTCGCGGAAATGAAACAATTCAAATGTTATTCACAGCCTCACATCGGAGAAAGGTCTGCCGCTCCACACTTACGTCCACCATATTGTCCACATGAAGGGAATGTCACAAACAATCTATCATCAAAAAGTCGTCCTGTGAAGTACTCACACCTGGATGGCAGTGCATTCGCTCATCTTGATGAGAGCAACAACTGCCACACGGTTTAACAGGATGCCCATCGAAGCTGGAACAACCTTCCCGGACAAGAACTGTTCCGAAGAGAAGGTCACCCGGTCTCGCGGCAGTCCCATCTGCACCCCCACTCCATAAAAGGATCCGATCCAACCAATTAGGTGAAATGCCAAGGATAGCGATGGGTAACAATTATAGGACGAAAATCGTCCGCTGAGCTGTCTGGATGCCGCTCAACTGGACACCAATGGTCAACACATCAGCGAGGATGGAATCGTTATACTGCATTTGCTTTGAGTTGAGACGAAGCCCCCAGCGCGAAGGTCTTTAAAGACGAGGACCACTTCAATTTTCGGGGTGCACTGCACCCACGGCACTCACACGTCTTTAAACATCCGTCATTCAGAGACCTACAGTATGTAACTCTCCTCTTTGCCTTCGGGGCAGGCCCTGAAGCCATGGTGCCTTTGGCCGTTCATGGCAGTTCCTCCATGAGAGTCTTTCGCCAGTTCCTCCGCTCCTCCATCGCCTCGTGCCCGCTCCTCCGCAATCCTCCGCATGTTCTCGTCCGACGGGATCCGTGGCCGGGACGACTGGACGAAACGGCAAGCTGTCCATGGTTCTGTTCAGGGTGCGATGGGAATGGGAATGGGAACTACCCACATCCGCATCCATATGATGCAAGAAGATGAAAGACACCTGCGGGGACGTGTGAGTCCGGGCGTCCGCGAAATCCGCAAGAACAAACTCAGCTATACACGCTATACAGGGAGAGCTTGGACGACTGGAGCTTGGGCAAATCACAAATCTTGCTTTCCTTTGGAATTCCGTGGCAAAAAGAGTGAAAACTAAAGGTTCAGCTCAGCCCCAAAAATGTCCACTGTAGTATGATGTAGTCTGCATTCCGATCTGACAAACCCAGGCCCAAGCCCTGCACCCAAACCAGCTCAATCAACTTCCCCTTTGGCAACACCAGCTTCCATCCTCTTCGCATCTCTTCGCGCCTTCGCCCGCGACTTCACTCAGGTTGCCACCACCCCCCATGCCTCTTGAACCAAAGGAAGGCCCCTAAGGAGGCCAAATGGCAGGCCAGCAGGAACTTCTCGTCTCCCACCCGCCTGACACGGCGAAGCCGAATAAACCCGACCAGTCAAAACGCATGGACTTCCCTTCTCGCGGCGGGAGAGGCGCGCACGGCGGTTGCGGCGGCAGAAGTCGAGACCTTTTCGGAGGCCGTGAGAAAAGGACGAAACATGTACGAAAGTCCGAAAACAGCGCCTTATGAAGTCCAAAGAGCCATGACAAACGTGGGTGGCTGGACCCATCAATCTTGCATCTCCAAAACGACCAAGGCGGCTGCACCGTGTTAGGCAGTGACCCTTGTCCGTGCTCTCCCGAAACGTCTCTCACAGTTAGTAGGCACATGTGGGCACCAGTACGTCCCAAATCCCAACTGGTGCAGAAGTTTTTCCAACCATAATCTTTGGGTATTTATAACTAAACACCACAAATCATTGTAGCCTGCTGCATAAATCCTTGCATAGTGCCTGAGAACCAAGAACCAACGTCAGCGTGGCAGCTTCTTCGAGGCTTCGTAGAGAGGCTAAAATACTTGACCCGAGGTATCAAGAACCCCAAGCCAGAGTGTGGCAAGGATAAGAGAAGATCTGAGAGACTTCGGGGGCAGTTGGGGTTGGATCCGTAAATCGAATCATGTCTCCACTGTGGACTGCGGGGGCCCAGTGGCAACAGCTGGAAACACCCGAAGCTGATGCCGCTGTGTCCAACTGCTCAGCCGCAGCCTGGAAGGAAAACCAATGTTTCGATATGTCTGTACCCTAGAAGTCCAATTCGTCGACTTTTTTGGCACCACCAAAAATCAAAGGAAATTCATTGAAATTCCTTTTCTTCGGGCCATGGTGTAAGCCTTGAGCATGGTTTGGTTTAAGCGAGACTCCCAGGGGCGCGCGCCTCACCAAAGGTCCACAGAAGCTACCGGCCGACAACACAGCGCCGTGCGCCGAGCTCCAGTTGTCCCGGCGACCTGCCTTCGAGAGCTGAGGCGATTTGGGATGGGAGATTGGGAGTCGGAGCAAGTCATAAGGACGCTACTAGGAGCTCCTGGCCATACTACTAGGAGCAAGAAGCTACTAGGGGCTCCTGGCCTTACTACTAGTAACAAGAAGCTATTAGAAACAGAATTAGAAGTAATTAGAATTACGTTTACTGTAATTAGAATTGAATTAGAATTAGTAATTCAACTGGATGATCATTCCTAGGGCATCCAGGCAAGTCACTATAGCTGGTAACCAGTGGTTCCAAAGACTAACACCATAGACATCCATAGACCTAGAATCCCTGGTTCCTTATATAATGGTAACTGGGATGCACTGGGATTGACTCAAACGTATCCCCGGAAAAGTTCAGACCGGGACAGTTGAAGAGAAATGGATGACATTGGAAGAGACATGTACTGTATGATCGAATATGTCCCGGAAAAGTTCAATTGGATCCAGTTGAGTCAATGACATGAAGCATGAATGCTGATGTTCATACAGCATGTAGGTGAGTTGCTTCGCAGAACTTGTCAAACATCTCTCCGTCGACCCAAGGGGCTCATGGATGGTGCAGAGGCCCCAAGGTCAATGACGGCACACAAAATAGCAGCTCAACCACTAATGTGCAGACTGTTGATTAACTCTCCATTTGGAATGCAAAACCGCTTTATGTGGGTGTTGTTAACTAATAAATCCTGATGCATCCTGTGGTTTCTTCCAGACCACCCCTTCTTTGTCACCCTAAACCGTAAAACCAACCCGCGACCTCGGTTGACCGTTCCCGTGTTTCTTGGTTCGGATCTTCCATCCCGCCTGCCATGCTTGCCAATGCTCCAAGCCCATTTCTTTCGGCCCCATCATCTGAACAGCCAGGACTTGATCCTGAATCACCTGACGACACTGAACGCGCCCCGGGCGGCCGGTAGACCGGCACCCTGACGCCGGAAAGAGACACCCTGACGCACGCACCATGACGCACCCGCGCCACTTCAGCCTATCTGGAAAATACAAGTATGCCGCATGCCTTAGAGTCCTTAGAGAGTTAAAAAACATCCAACAAATCTCTGCTCCAAGACCCTCAAGCACAACAAAAGGATGCCAAATGTAATTATAAAGGAAAACATCGCCACCGCCCTCCCCGTCGGTCCCGTCACCGTGCCTTGCCCTCCACGAAGCAGTGCAGCACGAAGAGCATCGCCCGCTGCCGCAGAGCTCCCCCACGCCGCCACAGCTGTCGGGCCTCTGGACACAGCTGTCCGGGACAGCTGTCGGCGGAGCGCTGAGGAACTGGTGACGACCGACTGGAGCGGTGGGCGCGTCAAACACGCTCGACTGTCGGTGTCAGATCGGATCCGGAGTCATCGTTCAGGACGACGTCGGGGTGTCTCAGAAGAAGCAAAACTGGCGATTCACTGGTGAGAGAGGTGTTTATAGAATACACCTCTAGCGGGACCTAGCGTTTCCCAATCTGTGTCCAATGGAGACCTATATAACCAATTGACATTTGACAGGACATGTTCTATTCACTGAATCTGGTTGGAGCAAACGAATTTGGATGGGAGAATGAATCATGAAAACATCTCCACAAATAACGTGTTTCAGCATTCAACTGCCTCAAATTCATTGGTCTACCGGTCCAATGTTCGGGATCATCCCATCCTAGTCGCTAGGGCCACGGAATCGCGGTAGTCCTGCAGCGGGGACCATGCAGGAGACGTGGGAGCCGACAAAAACTGCACACAGCTGGGGGAACAATGGGAAACGTGCAAAGAGAAGCTCTCATGTCTCAGTGCAGTTGCTTTGACAGCTTTACTTGGGAACTCCCTCTTCTACCTTTGACAATTCCAAAAGTTCATGGTGTAACGGTGTATCATGATTTTCGAGCAACCCTCTGAAGCCAACGTCCCTGGGACAGGTGCCAAATCAGCCCCGTTTCTTCACACTAATATACCTTTCTGCTGCACTTGCTTCGTGATGAGAAAAGCACCGCCCTGCTTCCCTCTCCTGGATTCCCAACATCCCGCTGATGTTCGCGAGGATGGATCCTGCAGGAAACAGCATCTCGAAAAGGGTCCGGTCCCATACCAAAGGGAAAACAAGTGATCGAGATGTGTGTGTGTGTGTCACCCCCTGTGCCAAAGGGTTCACTGCCATCGTTACCGTCACCACCATTTTCCAAAGCAGGGGGGCAGAGAGGACTTGCAAGGCTCTGCCCAACGAAGCTCCTTGCAAGATCCTAGGAAGCGGAAGCTGATCACTTCCGTGTACCTGCTCGTGACACTACCCCACTTTTCCTTGCTGTGTTTTGATGCCATGGTTGTTGATCACGATACTCTCCCCTCAAACAGGTTTCCCACCGCAGTTCTCAGCCACCGGAGAGTTACAGTCAGCCGCTTGTGCATTGCAGCTAGCCGCGCAAGTGAAACATTTTTTCAACAAGTCAAATCACCGGACTCTTTCGCCTTGCCGTTCCATCACCTTCCTTCCCAACGAGGGAACTGAGTGTAACTGAATACCAATGTCAGAGTGTGTTTCGCTCAGCCGTCCCACTCGGGTGCTGAGTGTGATCCCCGTCACTGGGGCGCTGTTTCATTGGGAAATCATTAACGGAACTCACCACCGCTCACCGGAATTTCACTGGAATTCACCTCCACTTCCAACGAATTAACTGCCTCAACGGCCGCCGGGCCTAAACACGGGATTACTTGGTCAGCCGCCGGGCTATAAAACGGTACTCTACCCCCAATGAGGCAGGTTTCCCACCCCCCCCCAGCTGAGTTCTACTCCCTACCTAATTAGGACAACATAGGGAAATGGTACTCGACACACTTGTGTGTCGGTGCCTTTCCCTGTGTTGTTCCTTTTCTAGTCTTTCCTACCCGGGCGGTCTAAGACTAAAGTCTCGCTCCCTAGCTATTGCACGTAATTCATTTCTGCTAAGTAATCAGTAACTCTAGAGGGCTAAGTATTCATACACACACACACGGACACACACATGTACATACACTTCCCTGCCCCCCGCTTTCCTTCTTACGCTTTCGGTCGTTTCTTGGGCTTTCTCTCAGGCTTTTTAGGTTGTTCTTGAGGCTCCTTTCCCTACCCCAGTCAAGGGCTAAGTATTCATTTTCCTACACCTATCTTTCTTTCTTGCCCTCTTAGCGCGGCTCTTTCTGTCTTTCTTTTCTCTTGTTTCTAAGGCTTTTTAGGTGACTATTTAGGTTTTCCACATGCGCGCCGCGAAGCGGCACCGTGTGTGTGTCACCCCCTGTGCCAAAGGGTTCACTGCCATGGTTACCGTCACCACCATTTTCCAAAGCAGGGGGGCAGAGAGGACTTGCAAGGCTCTGCCCAACGAAGCTCCTTGCAAGATCCTAGGAAGCGGAAGCTGATCACTTCCGTGTACCTGCTCGTGACACTACCCCACTTTTCCTTGCTGTGTCTTGATGCCATGGTTGTTGATGCCATGGTTGTTGATCACGATACTCTCCCCTCAAACAGGTTTCCCACCGCAGTTCTCAGCCACCGGAGAGTAACAGTCAGCCGCTTGTGCATTGCAGCTAGCCGCGCAAGTGAAACATTTTTTCAACAATTCAAATCACCGGACTCTTTCGCCTTGCCGTTCCATCACCTTCCTTCCCAACGAGGGAACTGAGTGTAACTGAATACCAATGTCAGAGTGTGGCTCGGGGTGTCCATTCCATACTTTATCTAGATGCCCAAGCAATATCAAATGATAGATATGATAAGTCCAGCCACATGCCCGGGACGACATAGCCTACTACATACATAAAGCCTGTATACGGAGTACGATCCGCCTTCCGGCATCCGTCAGCGACCTTCACTTGATGGCTCCTTCCGTGCGACTGCTTCCGGGCAGTAATGCTCTTGATTACACTCCCGAGAACCCACGTGGACCCGGGTCGAATGGCACCCAGGGTCCGACTGCTTTCCTCGGTCGCTGCACCAGCGGTTGGATAAGGGTCCATGTGAGTTTGCCGCGGTCAACTCTTTGTGGGGACCTGCGCCATCCTGGTATCATCACTTCGGGTGATGATGCTGCGCCATCCTGTGTCTCAAGCTCAAAGAGGAGGCCGAATATGTCAATGCCCTCTGCATGCAAATACCACAGCCTTTTTCAGCATCAGAGATTGTGTTGTGTGGGAGACTTTTTGCTTCGAGAGACGTAGTTGCATGAATCACTGGCATTGCATAGCTAATGTCCACAGCAATCCAAAGTCAAACACGTGAGAGACACCTGAGGCATCCTGAAGAAACATTAAATACAGGAAGAACAAGTACTCAAAAGGATTCAAAAGGTGGCAAAGTGGCCAAATGGGGTTGTAAATTCTTGACGTGCCCGGGCCGGGATGTTTGAGTACGTATGGGGTATGCTTCGGAGGTATGCTTCGCGCAGTGTGAAGACTAAAGTAGCAGCGTTTTCAGAGGGTATGCTTCGGGGTATGCTTCGCCTAAGTCGAACATCCCAGCCCTACATGACATGAACTGGACGCGTAAAAGAAACATAACATATCTCAAAAGTGTTCTCATGCAAAAAGGGAAACAAAACACAATCAAACCTGTCACAGGTTCCAAACTAGATCCACAACAACACAACTGAAGGAGGTATAAAATGAGAGAAGTGTTCATGTGTCATTCTGGTCCCTCAAGAGATGGTGCTCACTCTCTGAATCTGCCAAAAAAGCATCCAAAAAACTAACAATTTAAGTTCAGCAGCCATGCAGGGTCTCAACGAAGAAAACATGGTGCACACCCTGTGCCGCGCTGTGTTCCGCGCCCTTTTCGTGGCATGTCGTCCTGAAGGCTCACGAGCCGGACCTCAGCGAGGGTCTTTGGACGAGCACCCGAGCTTGATCGCCGCCGCTCAGAGGACAGGGCATCGTGGGAGTGGGCAGGTCCAAGCTTGGGAGCCATACCCCCCACTGAACAGGTGTCTTTGTCTCTTAGTGAGCAGTTCACTTTCTCGGTAGCAGTCTCAAAGTACATCAACAATGGGTATACCGTTGCTCTCTCTCTCTCTCTCTCGCGGGGGAATGGAAGACTTTGAGACTGATCGGGCTTTGCATGTTTTTCAGAACAACAGCAGCAACAAGAACATGCAAGAACCAGAACTCCAACTCTACCCAGAATTGATGTTATGCTGCAGGAGTTCATGGGATCGCAAGAGGTGCCATGAACTCATTGACCTAATCGAGTGACCAAGGAATAAGAGCCTTATCGACCCACATTGACGAGAGGTGCATGCTTCAGAGTTCACGAGAGGTCCGCTAACTCATGTTGCTGGTTGGATTCCCTCCGATGGTTGTCTACATCCGCAACAAACCGGTCACACCCAAGCCCCTGGCTTGCGTCAACTTTGTCTGCAAGCTTCTCGTTCGTCTCCTGGCAACCCCGAGCTCCGAAAAAAGCGGGCACCCCGTTCCGGACTTCAATGGATCGTTCACGACTACTGGCGTGGTACCCGATGTTCACCTCCTCCGTGTCCGCTGCAAAGGGGTCCACCAGTGGAACGTCATGTTGGATAACCCAGACACGACTAATGGGACTGCCATATATGCCGATCAGTTGGGGTGGTTTGGGGGGTGTCAATGTAGGCATATATGGCAGTCCTATGGAGTGTCTGGATAAGGAAACAAGATAAGCCACTGAGAGTCATGGACGTCCACCTGCTCTGGGCTGGGCCGTAATCCCGCGGCACGGCTGGCCTCGGGCCGGTGGTCGACCGGAATTCTGCTGGCTGAAGTTGAAAACACTGCTGCATACATATGGTCAACCGAGGCGATATGTTGCCCAGATCCCGAATTCCGCCCGCAGGTCCAACCCATCTCCATCTTCCCGATCTGCCCCCCCCGTCTCGCTCCGCGTACCCCTCTGCCCCTAGAACTCAACCCAGCACCCACACTCCACCGCCCGCAGGTCGCGCTTCGCCTCCTCGCGCCTCCTCGCGCGTCTCGCGCCTCGAGGTATCGCTGCGCCAAGGCCAGATGCAGCGCCGCCAGTGCGGCGGCCGCCAGGAAGCAGAGCCGCGGCCGCTGGCCGCCGGTGCCCATGAGCAGCTTGGACTCGGTGGACGAAAGGGCAGAGCCCCGAAACGAGAAAGGCAGGATGGGGGAGCTGGTTGGTCCAGTTGGTCCCACTTCTTCGTGAGATCCATGTGGGATCTTGGGAAAGAAGCGAAGGTTTGATGGAAAGCTATGTGCTGGTAGAGAGAAAATAACAAAGAAAAAGACTTGGACCCATGTGGTCCACCGGTGATCCAATGTGGGATTTCAGGCACCGGTGATCCACCCGGAGGAAACCGCGTCCGGAGTTGGACACCGAGCAGCCAGTTGAGGGCCCAGCACCAGTCCAACGCCTGGACGATCTGCACATCGAGCTAGGCGTTCCCGGTTGCGGTTTCTGGCACTCCCAACTGAATGAATTCTGGTTCTTGTCACCTGCATGATTCACTGCATGATCATGGTCCACAAGAAAGTGGAACTGATGAATGATATGAAAGTATTTACAGCAGCTCAGTGACAATTCTAAGATACTGGCTGCAATACCAGTTGGGTGGTGCTTTATGGCATAAATCCGCCAAAGGTTTGCCGATCGTTGTCAGGGAATCTTTGGGAGGGCAGTGAATACATACGACATGTATCAGGTTTCGCAAGGTGCATCAATCAGTTTCAAGAAATGGTTGGAAGCAACCTTCCGTTAATTGAAGCAACCCTGCGTTTATAGTTGTGTTGCTCTGTAGCACCATTTTCAGGTGCTTGGCTGAGTGACTTCAGAACTTCAGATCGTACAGAACTCATTCAAATGGTCTCCAGATGGTGAATCTTCGGAGCTGCATGCGAACCCACAGAATCGCCTTTTTTCGCGACACCGGCGGATGGACGAAATCCACATGGCGACTACAGACGATGCTGCTGTCCTCGGTGGCCCGCCGGGCGCGCCTGTGGCTGTCTGCAAGAAGCCCAAGGCCGCAGCGTACTTCTGCCCTGCGAGGGTCTCCAAGTCGAAGATCGCAGGAAGGTTGAAGAGTTTGCACTGATCTTGGCATTTTTTGTACATGCATTTTGTTTAGTGCATGGCATGGTATTATATACATGTCTAAAATATGGTAAAATGGTCGTTCAATCACACGCCATGTTTCAGCTTTGGTAGGTTGACCATCTCTGGGGGCGTCTATTCTAGTCATATCTGCGGTGGGAACCGGCCACAGGATCACCCGGTTTGGACCGGTCAAGTCTATGGTTGGGTTGTCCCCGCTCCAGGACTCCAGTCCAAAGTTTACATATCACCGAGTGTTGGGCTTGGGGTTTCCGGTTTACACAAACGCTGGATCTGTACACACCTGAACGAGCTAGAAGACTGGAATCTACCCTCTACCACCTCTACCTGTCATGTCTTCTTGTTCTCCACCCATCTTCTTGTTCTCCAACCAACCCCAAAAGACATGTGTCGCATTTAAAAGCTTCTTCGAGATGCCCCCTGGAAAGCTTGAAATCATGTGTCTCCCGACGGTGGACATGGGTGATTTGAGGTGTGAGATGAAACTCCAACACTCCAACTATAGAGATCGAAACTTGGAGACCTCACAGGAAGAATGTGCGACATGGCGCAGCCCAAATCAACAGATTCACCAGCTGCGGTCCTTGGTATAAGTCTGCCAGGGAGGACATCGTCATTGTGGTGCCGCAGAGCGTCCGGAGGGAGTCGCCCAACACCTTGGCCGAGGGAGGCGCTGCTTCTGGCGGGTAGCAGGACGGTCAACCCAGCGATGGGTTTCAGGTCCACGCATGTTCAACCGGATCCAAGTGTGAACATGGTCGGAAACAACCGAACCGGGCGAACCGTAGTCTTGGTATGCAATGATCCTCAGATGTATACTTGGGCTTGCGATCCAGGGTAGGCCTGTAGTTCCCTCAAGAAAACGGTTGTTTCATTGTGAGGGGCGCCTGGTCTGAAGTTTGTAGCCACGGCACTGAAAGAATCAGCAACTAAAGTTGTTTGAGGGCAGTGTCTGTAGAGCCTTTGGCAAGTTTTACAAAGAACAGCATTGCCTTCCCCCTCCAATTCCCTCTATAGAAGGTAACCAGACATGGCCCACTTTCGCACTTCTTCAGGCGCTGGCTGTGTTGGCACGAGGGCATGAAAAAACTGTCTATCTTATGTACGGAAAACTGAAGGTTGAGCTGGGTGGCAATCCTCGAAAGCCACTCGGGCTCATGCACCCAGTATGCAATGGTCAAAAGTCAAGGGGATAGCTTTCCCGGACGAAGTTTGAGTTTAAGACCGGCTTGCCCTGACACCGCCAAAATGACTTCTTTTTCATGTGTACAAACTGACTGCATGGTCAGAAGGCTGCGCTGGTCAAACTGGGGCACATCTGTGGACGTTTTTCTGGAACCCTTTTTCTTCCATCCCCTTGAGACGCCGTGCCCTGTCCAGCTGCAAGATCCGCGGGGTTGGGAACTTTGCGGCCAGCAGCTTCAGTGGCAAGGTGATCTGGGCGTTCAGCGGGCAAGCTCAAGGGGGACATCTGGCTTCTTAACATGAACACGTCCCTCCGCCAAACTGCCTAGCGGTTTTCTCAAAGAATGCAAGTTGGCTAAGCATGAAAACCGCGTCATGAGTCGCAGAGTCCTGTTAGCCTTCCGGCCTCTTGCCAGACTTAATACATCTTAATGCGCGGGTCTTGACATGGGCGAAGAGTAAGTCAGACTTGCGGCCACTGAAAGCTTTGGGAACAGTGAGGATTTCTGGGGGATGTTCCGACAAGACACTTTGCCACTTTGCGCGGATAGTGAAAGCATGACTCCACTTCGATTGAACCCAGGGACCCATAGCTACCCACATGTTCACCCATGTTCCATCGTGGATCCTGGTTGCCAACGAACACATGCCAAGGCTGACTCGGACCCTATCATAATCCCCATAGTATCAAGCAAACAAACCGCGTGCGATCTGGTAGACAGGACAGTGGTTTCACATCCACTCAAAGATACTCAAAGTAATGACCCCATCAGCAAGCCGACTAGTCGAAGATAGTAGCATGGAACTCACACACTCTCCCTCTCTTGCTCTCTCATCCATGAGGGGTTCAAGCCTTTCCCTGTATAGGCAATGACAATAAGAAAATATGAAGGATAGTCAATCCAGCACATTCCTGTCGGGCTCACCTGTACTGTCCCACAGTAGACTCTTCCCTCAAGAGTCAAAGGTCCAACAGACTGAAGTGGTTCCCTTCCACCACTGGTACAGACTCTTCAGTACCTAGAGACGCGAGCTTCCGCTTGCCGCGGTCTGTGTGACCGACCGATCGCATGCCCTGGAGTGTAGGAATGAACATCACCGGAGGGCGTTCTCTTCATGGTCCATCGGTGTGATGGCGAGAGAGACCCTCCAGTTGGACGCCCCTCCACTTCGACGCCTAAGAAAGAAACATCAACTTTTAGCTGAGCATGAGCGGAGCAGAGGGTAGAATTCTGAGCATGCAAAGGCCTGACTCTGATTGCTTCATTGGTTTGGCACCACGGTTCGTTAGTTCCTTTTGCTGATGTGAACATTGAGCTCTTTTCCTCTTCAACCACGTTGGAGACAAATGGACTGATGTTTGTCCCGTTTTCTTAGGAGATGAGCTTGTCAAAAACTTCCAAACATTTTTCTTGTAACAAGAAAACATGGTTCCATGGTATGTTCAGAACTTGACAAGAATGAAAATTACACCACCGTAGACCCCAAACAGGTGGGACAACAAAGAAGCATTCCCAAGTCAATTTTTTGAGACATGGGGGACAAGAAGGAAGACAAGCGGACACAAAGACCAACAAGAAGGGAGACGAGAAGCGAGACAAAAGGAAACAGAAGGGAGACAGGAGACAAGGCGGACACAGGGACCAACAAGAAGGGAGACAAGGCAGACACAATGACCAACAAGAAGGGAGACGAAAGGAGACAGAAGGGAGACGGGCGGAGACGCCCCTATTCTGTTTACGAATTGAGGTCCCAATGGATGATCCTCCGTTAAGGCCACGAAGCTGTGGCGTCGGTGTCGGTACCCACGAGTTCGTCGCGGATCGCTCCAACCCGAAGCGCCGGTTACTGCTGCAGCGGGACAGCTGGCAGCGAGATCATCAGTGGCCTGGCGCCGGTGCTGCCGGTGCTTGGCGCCGGTGCTTAGCTGCATCGAGGCGTCGGTGGTGTGTCTAGAGCGAGAAATGGTTTGTCCGCGCCCTTTTCAGCCTCTTTGAAGAAGGCTTACAATGACCTCACTAATTACATCTAATTACTATATTGATCTATATTGACTATAGTGACTGTAGTTGATGTGCAATTTTCGCCCAAAAGCCATGGCAGCTATGGGAACCCATGACACTGTTGGGGGGAGAACCCCAGCCGCAGCATCGGCATAGTCTATCTCAAGGGTCCATAGTAATCCCAACCCACGTCACTGCATGTCGACAAACATAGCATCTCATGCGCAAGTAGAAAACAACAAATACGGATCCAAAGTCGGTAGGAGAAGGATTCTGAGAAGGATCAAAGGATCGGATTGCCAAACACATGATTATATATGATGTGCATTCAAGAACCACCAAACTGCAGAGTATGCGCTTCAACTGGTGTTTCAATGGTTAGCCCAAGGGTCCAAACAGAGACACTGCGGCTTGCTCTGGTCATCTGTTTCACAGACTGAGCCACCAATGTGCAGAGAGGCAAGCGTCTGAAAGTGAACCATTCATCTCTGACGTATGTCTGACGTATGCAAAAAAAAAAGCATCACTCTCCTCACCCGCCTTTTTGTGGGTTTGGTCTCTAAATGAGGGGACTCCAAAAGCAATCCGACCAGTTGATTCAAGACACAGCTCTCCGACCTGAGCCGTGGACCCAGGTGGATCACTTCGCCGTGACCGAGGAGAAGTGGATCACTCTCGCAGAGAGTGATCTGATCACTCGAACGCCAAGATCACGGAGGGGATGCAGTGACTATCATAGTGACATCCCCACAATTGCTTGTTCAACACTGAGGGATATCCCCACAATTACCAAGGCCGCAGGTCAGGCCCTCTATGGGCTGCTCCAGGGTTGGCGGTTTTGCTCGTCGCCACGATCGCGCATATGGGGCACCTGCGTCCCACACGATCGCTCAACGCGCCCAAGATCCTCAGGTGGCGAGCCACTTGCACGAGCGTTTTCTCGTGGCGAGCCGCTTGCCAGCTGCTTCAAAGGTCATCATTTTGGGAGTCTGTTTTGTGAACCTGAAAAACCAGGCCGGTAAGTGACCTCATGGAGACTGGAGATTCAGTTCGGTCACTTTGAATAACCGGGAGCGCAAGTCAGTTTGTCAGTATGGCTCAAACCAGGATTCACCACCAAGCTGGGAAGCGGTTCGCGAACCTTTTGGCTTTGGTTGGTCCACAGGGATGTCAGCAGCAGGGAATCAAAGAACATATAGGAACGCCATAGGAGACTCTCCAACATAGGACCGTCTTCATTTTGCTTCATGGAGACTGGAGACTGGAGAGCCGATCTATTTTCCACGCACAAAAAATTATAGTCTAATTAAAACAAGTGGTACATAGGATCAAATATTTGCTCAAATGGAGGGAAATCTCTCGACCAGTGCCATGAGTGCCATGTCTGGAAAAATTCTCGACAAGCCGCCGTGCGTTCCTTTTGGTCATCCACCCCAGTCTGATCCGAAGAAGCCCCAAGAAAGGCGCTCCCAAAGTTCAAGGCAAGAAGCTAGTAGGTTGGAGGCCATCGCTATTAGGTTGGAGGCCACTACGTACTCTAGTAACAAGAAGCTACGAATGTCGCGATGCCCTTGTCGCTCCGCCGACCTCGCCCCACGCGCTCCCTCTGTCGCACGGCGGGGAGAGCAGGAGGTCGCTCAAGGCCACGAGGCCCGAACCCCAGTCTGGGCGCGACCGAGCGTCCGAGCGTCCGAGCGACATGGAGGTGAGGAACGGGTGTATGGGTTTTTTCCCCCAGAACGCCCAGTCTGGGTAGGACGGGTCTATTATGGTCTAGTTCTCTTCTTCCAGGGGGCTCTTAGTTGAGGTCGTCCGAATTTTCATGTACACCATTGTACCCCAAATGGCTGTCATGGCACTGGGAGACCGACTGGTTGGACTGGACGAATCCGGCTCCGTGTGTCACGACCCATTCCCCAAATCAGACCGCTCGACCACGCGTCACGCGGAAGAGCACCGCGCCCGCGGAAGAGCACGGCGCCCTGCTCCACGTGCTCAAAAAGTGCTTCACTGCTGTGTCATGACCTTTTGGGATGTGAAGCACATGAGCGAGCAAGCAGACCTCTTGGGGGAACCCCGACCCGAGACCGATTACAGCGGATCAGACCCCAGGTGTCGAAAGAGTCTCTCATGGATCATGGTGGACCATACCGTGGGCTTCGACCCACGTTGGCATCACAAGCCCAAGTCACAGTCCAAGCGGCAAGCCCAAAACAATTCCAGTGGAATCCAGTTACCACTACAGCTGGTAACCAGTGGTGTCCATTCACTAAAACATCCTAAAACCATCCTAAAACCATAAATACCCTGGCCTGGTCATTATATAGAGGCTGCCTGGAATCCACTGGGAATGGGGATTCCACCACCACCCTCTGCCTCCAAACAGCCCAACTGCCGAGTGGCTGAGATGTCTCTCGACGGCAAAGGCGTTGGCTTTGAGCAACTCCGGACGCGCTTGGAGAGTCAGACTGCCTCAGCTCTGTCTTTCCGCAAACAGGGATGATCTGCCTCACGTGGCCTCACCGGATCCGGATGAATTCTCAACCATCCCACTTTGAAACATCGAAAGCCTTTCGAATTCATCATCCCTATAGGGTCCCTAGAGAAACGCCAGTATACACGGTATACGTGCCCTTTCCCGGAAAAAAAAGAAAGTGGTTTGTTCTGAGAAAGCTCTGTCGTGTTCCCCCGAGACCCAGCCCGCGCGCGCATCGGTGGGGGAAGGTCGGCCGACCTCGACCGGTGACTGGCGTGTCCTTCCCGGTCACCGGTCGGTCCATCCGGTCGGCTTCTTCGAAACCCGAGTGATGCTGCGTCTCATGCTGCTCTGTAAACCTCTCCATTGGACGCTACGCCACCCTGCAGTCGTGGAGGTGATCAACCTTGCAACCAAACATAACCAAACCAAGTCGTCTTCCCTGCCCAAAAATCGGGATACCCAACGCGTTGCAAATCCATACAGCAATGATAACTATTCTTTTATAACATTATAACACACTATCTATTAAAGATTCTTATAGAACTCATGATATCATGAAATCAGGGTTTCTGGTGCTATCGACTTTGCTTTTTTTCTCCCCAAAACCTCCTCCCTTTTGGCGAGCTGCTCAGCAGCAGGGCAGCAACTTGATGCCCCAAGATCAACCAAAGGCACCGGCGCCTGCAACGACGAGTCGCTCCTCCGACTCAGCACCGTCGGTCGGACCGAGCACCGGCGCCGGCGGAGGGCCATGGAGCCGAGGTGCTGCGGGTGCCCAGGTGTGCTTTGTCAGGGTCGTCAGGGTCGACAGCTGGACTACGCTGGACCAGGGCCAGGACCCTTCTACAGGGCCATGTGGCCATATCAAGTCGGTTCCTGCAGCCCAAACAGCCTGGTGGACCGAACCATCAACAGAGTCTGTGTTCCACAGACCGCAAAATCGCCCCGTCGCCAGTTGACGCCCTGCTGGCCCACGCAGGTTACCCAGTGGGGGCGAGCTCTGCCACATCGTTTCTTAAACTCTTAATATGCTCAGAAGATGTTTAGAATAAATCCCCTTCAAACCCCCTCCATATGCCAGTCACCAGAAGAAGTCACACGCGATATTCTCCCGGGTCGACTGTGGGAAGCGCCAGGAACTGGATCGACGCCTCTTCTGCTCCGCGAGCTGGTCCAAGGCCCAAGAGGATTTGGCACTGAAGAAGCGCCTGGGCACGGTGGAGGGCATCGAGGCACGGTCAGCGAGGCATGGTTCCCGAGATCGATTTCGGAACGTGGGGGGGCAGGCATTATGTAGGAACGTGGGGAAGAGGCTTAGAAGGATGACTGCGGCATGGCTTCCGTTTTGGCCTTCGGCTGGGGTCCCGAGCCCGAGCCCGAAAAAAGAAAAAAACACACCATGCGCACCATGCGTTATAGATAAGGACCATGACTGGTGGTCGATATTTGAAGTCCTTCCATTTGTTTCACGTGGTCCATCCTTTGAAATCACGGCCCTGCGGTACGCTCGAAGTTGTGGAGGGCGCGCTAGAAGTTGTGGAGAAACTTCCCCTAGGCTACCAACCACCATTAATTTAACAGATTTAATAGGCTTTACCGAATCAACTACCGGATTTTACATGACAAACACCAGGTCAACCATTTGTAAAATGGTCTTCGAAGTCATAAGGGGCTTCCTCTCCAAGCTACCTCGCTCTCCCACCGACCTCGCTCCGTGCCCGGCGACACCATCGGACCACCCGCTGCTCCGTATACGTGACGCCTGCTCCGGTTGGGTCGGGAAGCAGCGACGTATGTTGCGGGCGCTTCTCTCTCCACTGGGTGCCCTCACTCTGGAGGCATTTCTTCATCACTGGCCATCTCTGGAGGCGAAGAAGGCGGGGGTCTCACCCGCGCCCGCTGGTGGAGTTGGCGAGATCTGTTTGAACGATCCCAAACACTTCAACCATGCAAGAATAGAGGCTTCTTGAGGTGTCATGTTGAGACAAACCCGAACCCAGCACGAGTCTTGCAGAGAATCATCAAAACCAAAGTGCCAATGCTCTTGGTTCCTCCGGGCCCCCCAAAAATCAGAGCAGTCAACACCCAGCTTGAACAGTCAAGCTGGGTACAAAGACTTAAAGAATGAGTTGTGCCTGGTCTACTTAGAGCCCCACCTGTTGCGTCTTGACGTATTTCGGATGCGTTTTTCACAGCCTTTCGTGGACGATCACGCTTGAAAACGATAGAATTGTGATCCATGTGCTCATTCGTCAAACTTATTGATCCTTTCCAAGCCATCCATGTGCTCTTGAAACCTCAACGACTTGGCTGAAGTATTTGAGCCATTCTCGGCAACCTCAGTCAACCACTTGTTGGTAAAGGCAAGATCTGACCCTAGGGGTCTGTGTCTGAGTGATACTCTGAGTATCTCTGAGTCTATCCGCTGCCGTAGCGTCTGCAGAGCCGAAAAGGTGGCGAAGCACCGTCGTACGCTCCGACGAAGACATCACTTTCAAAGGTGGAACATGGGTCCTCCGAAAAACTGGTCTCTTTCTTCGTTGAATCCTCTAGCGGTATGAAAAAAAGAAAACAAGGAAGTTCCACTTCCCATCCCCTTCGACTTCGGTTTCTGAAGGAGCTTCGACTTCCCATCCGTGGTTTGACCACAAAGAGTGTCGGGTCCCTTCGAACCGTCACTCGCTCCGGTGTCGTCACGGCGAGGAGGGGGGCGTGGAAGAGTCGAAACGGCGTGGGGTTCGAGTCTGAAGGTAGAAATCCATATTACCATATATTACCCATTACCCTTCGAATCCGGGAGTCCCCCCGAATGGCAATCCACCTGGAGCGCAATCCAACTTACCCTCAGAATCCGGGCGAAGGCTAGCAATAAATACGGTTTGGTTCGGGCCGGGACCCCTGCGAAGGTGTCGGGTGCGACCCCTGCCCTGCAGGCTCAATCGAAAAAGGCCGTTCACTTAGGAACAGAATGGTCGTTACCTTGCAAATATGGAGCCATGGTGTAATGTAGGAACCCCCAGTGGGTTTGGAGGATCCTCGTTGTTTGAGAACAGCTCTGGAGCTCATTTAATTTGGATCGGCCAGAAAGTCTCCCCATGTCCATGGTGTTTGCACGGTGTTGGAACACATTTAATTGCTCAGACGTCGCATCTTTTTTGTGTGTGTGTGATGTCACCTATGCACACATTTCCGGACTTCAGACCGGTATGAAAACGATGGCGCAGGAGTCTCAGGACTTTTTCCTTCCGGTGAAACTGCCCACACGAGATCCGAAAACCGCACCGGTGCAATCTTTGTCACCGAAAACCGGTTTCGATCGGCGTGGCGAGATCTGGATCGATCTGTACAAACGATGCGACGCGGACGCGAGCACTGCTGACGCTGACGCTGACGCGGCCCGGGTGACGAGCACTCATTCCTCTGCTGCTGAGTGAGTCGTTTAGACCAAAAAGGTAACATCTTAACCGTTCAGTCTGGCCGGAAACACTCCAACGTGTGTCACTGGGTCTGGTCATGTCTGGTGTTTTTGTTGCGCGCGAAGATCGCGCAATGTCATCACTGTCGCGGGTGTTCAATGCCAAAGCTTTGGGCATCACTGTCGCTTCTCGAATCCTGCCGGTCGCTGGTCGAAGTCCGGTCCGCACGGTTGAACAGTCGCAACACCGACGCTAAAGTCACTCAAGGAGACGCACCTGCAGTGTCCTCGAAGCAGAGTGCGCTTTCACAACCGGTTTTCAAGCAGTTTTGGCAACCTTAGTTTGGCTTGTTTTGAGCCGTGTATGTTCAGCAATCACAGAAACAGAAACTGCCCCAATGTGTCGGAAATCTTGAAAAGTCCTCCCCTACCCAAAAACATCCAGTCCAACCATCGATTGTCCAACCATGTCCGGTCCTTTACGCTCTTTGCCTTCCACTTCTTTGCCTTCTTTGCCTTCACCCAGCCTTTCACCCAGTACACCAATGCTCCGGTCCTGTCTCCAGGTCCGGTCCATCGCTCTCCTGGGACCGGTCGGAGCCGGTGTGGCGCCGGAGGGCGCCGTTTGGTGGAAATCCACGGCGCGAAAGGTTTCGCTCCGGCCGGTGGAACCGCCAAACAAAGGGCTCCCAGGTGGTGGTGGTGGTGGTGGTGGTGGTGGTGGTGGTGCGTGCGCTTTGGTCTTTCTGTTCGTGTGTTCCTTCTTTTTTGCCGTGCCAGGTTTTGGGAGGTCAAAGATCAAGCAAAAAAAAGACACATCGCACGCAGCTGGAACAGGGACGTGATTCATCCGACAGCCACTTCTGTGCGATTTTAGTTGCTTTTTAGGGGAAGTGGTTTGATAAAGCATAATGCTCTAGAAGACCATAGTTCCGGACGAATTTACCCCATTTGGGTGCGTAGAAAAATAGGGAGACCTCTCAAAGACACCCTGGAAGATGGGAAATAGACTAAGACTCAGCCAGGGGGACTCCCTATACACGCCCAGTTATGACCCAATGTAAGCTAGTTGATCAAATGAGACCAAGCCGGTCACCTACCACCAGTCGTGCGCTCACGACATGTGAAACACCAAATGTTTGACAAACATGTGATTCTCCACCAGGCAAATCCTTTGCTCCATCTCTTCCACTTCCGAAAACCCACTCCACTCCGCCGCCGCTCAGCCCGTCTCCTCCACCTGGTCCACCTCACGCGAGGACGTCGACGACTGCGTCGACGACGTCGCGCCTCCGGTACGGGGCACCTGGCTATCGGTCGATGCGGCGAGCCCTGGAGGGGCGAAGGATCCCTTTGGAGACGCCACCACACTGAGTATACTGTGTCGGTCTTGAGTGAAGGGATTGACTGTATCACAAGTCACAAGTGCTGAAGGCTCTTTGGATTCACAAAACATGACCTCCGCAGTTCCAGGGGCTCGTCTACTCTGGAGATGTGGCAACTATCTAACATGAGTAGCTGAATGGGATATCTGGCCAAGGTTAGAGCGGGTCCGACGCTTTGGGAGAGCTGGGCACTTGCTTCGAGAACGTGGTGCATTTTCCCAGGCTTGTTGGTGAGTGCTGAGGAACGTGTTGAGTCACCGCACCGGCCGCACCGAAAACTGTGGTAACTGTGGTAACCGTGGTACCCCTTCTCGCTGGTGGTTTTTCACATCCTTCGACCGCTCTCGATGGGAGAGGAGTACGATGGAAAGTGGATTGTTTTGGTCCAACGAAACCTCCTCAAACCAATATAGGACATGGATGCTGCAATAGGATATAATAGGATGCACTAGGAGCGGAAGATTGCAGTGGATCCTGTCAACAGGATGCAATACGACAAGGACACTCCCAGCTGCCAGGCGTACTTCAAAACACGCTGTGGGTGCCAAAACACATCCTTGGGTGCTGGATGTAGCCTCTGCTGTTCGCTCGACCAAGAAGAATTCGTCACACCCCAACACTGAGTGACTTCCCTGTGTCTTCTCCCCAGAAACTGCCCTTCAATCACCTCCAGACAGTTGCGGGTGTGGAAACACACCGTCTCTCTGATGCCACAAGAAGATACAACAAGTGGATGTTGGGTGAGGTGTAGTTTGACCTAGAATCCAACGGGGAAGCTGATGACACTTTCAAACATCATGCACATTAATGCACACATACAAGGGCCGCCGCACCCACCGTCGCGCTGTCTCGCGGACCTCCTCGCCCTTTGCCTCTGGAGCCACACTTGGACCTACCCACACAGCCGACTCAGCAGCACACGTTCTATGTCTGGGACAAGGACTTTCCTGCCTCTTGGATGAGCTTTTGCCGCAAAGGATTCAGCCAAAATCAACAAGCCGAATTTGTTGCCCCAGCGTCCGCAACAAGACTAATCCGATGTTTCACAAAGCCTCCAAGGCTCCGACCTGCCGTGCGGACTGGAGTTCTTTCTCACTGGGTGGCCCGGTTTTCCCTCCAGCCCAATATAGCGGAACCTCCCCGGTGGTGCCTGGTCCTGGCTAATGTAGACAATTGATTGATCACAGCCCCGGCACACCCCTCCCCCCCCCCAGACATGGATTGAAAACCCCCGACTCAGAGGCCATGGCAGGTGGAAATATGTTGAAATATATCAATTCTAAGCATCATTTCACCAGACGAACCAAATAGACACCACGCCCATGTGCCCACCCGTCGCTCGGATCTTCCGAGTCGTCCGATCGTCGGCATCGGTCGCCCGTCGCACGTCGATCCTGAAACGAAGGGATCGGCCTTCTCCCGACATGGTTGGGGTGTAAACGCACCCTCATTTGGAAAGCGTGCGGCCCAGGTTGGGGCTTCTGTCCTGGGGTTCCTCGTTCTTGTCGGAAGCCCGAAACCTGGATGAGTCACCTGGGGCACTTTGCAACTTCAGACCTTGGCACTTGAGGTTATGGTGAGCCAACCTGCGTGCCCCACCCAGTTTCGTAAGGGAGACCAGTCCCGCCCACGACCGCTCCCGAGAGGTTATCCCGCCCCATTGGCCAGTGACCCAGTGATAAAAGAATGAGAAAACCTCAAGTCATTCATCATGTCGTGTCAATGCGTAGATGTCCGATAAACAACTCCTTCAGGCCAAATCTCTCGGAAGTATGAGTGCCACTAGAAAAGGTTGTTCCATTGGTTCTTGCGCTGTCTCATCAAACGAATTTTGGAAATCTGAACTGTTTCATTGCACATTGCTTCCAGAAATCATGAACAAAACGGTTTACATAGTTTACATCTACCTGGTCTGAAAAAAAAATATTTCTTTCCATACTGTAGGTGTTCTGTTTTTAAGGATGTCCCCAACCCCGGGACACCCTGCGGCGCGGGACACCCTGCTGCGCGGGGCCGCGCCTGGGCGAAGCTTCAGCCGAGCGCCCCGGTCGCCGTTGGGGGCGCCAAAGGCAGCCACACCTGGTCGATGCGCCGAAGCGCGCTGGGGGATGCGAATCCCGTGGATGTTTTGTGCGTCACGAAGTGTTTTTCTCTGGGTTGAGTCAGGTGCCTCTCACTAATTGGGTTCTAGTTGTGGAAACCGTTAGAGAAAAAGGATCATGTCGTTCTTGAAGTGATGATCTGGGTTGCAGTGAAGAACCATTTGTCTGGTGAGACGTTTGCCCCGTATTTGGTGACAATTGGTTGGTACGGTTTGATCGCTTGCGACCCTGATCTCCCAAGCAAATGTTCGTATAATTTCGTATATATAATGAGAAGCAATGCTTGATAAACCCGTTATAAAGTGGTCAGACCAAAGTATAGTGGTCAGACCTCTATATAAGTTGTGTACAATCAGTCTAAAGTGGTCAAACAGGGCGGCGTGCTGTCGACTCTACAACCACTAGGCAACACAAGCTAAGGATCTGTCCTCGGCTCCTACTCCTCACAATTCACGCGACTTGGCCAAAACCAGGTGAATATGTCGTCGAGTGTATGAAATCATTTGATATGCTCGGATATGCGTTGTTTCTTGTTTTTGTTGTGTTTTCAAGCAATATATAGTAGTACACACATCATTTCTTCGGTGCATATTGCAAATGATGTATGTTATGAATATATCATTATAGGAAGAGGGAGAGAGAGAGAGAGCGTTTGCATCTAAACATGAAAACAGCACCATGTAATCTCTGGTTCCCACGTCTCTCCATGTCCAAACGCATGAAAAATCCTCCTCGCCGGCTTCGGTGACCGTCTTCCGCTGGTTCGGCGCCTTCTGCGGACGGCACCGCAAACGGCACGGCTCCCGCCCATTCGCCGCCGTCCGGGAGCCCAGCGCCTGAGGAACCGCTTCGAAAGCGGTATTTCTGGGCATCAGTAGTGTTCTGGGCATCATCCAGGAACCGGAAAAAAAACATATATATATATATATATACCTGTGAAAACCTATTACTCAGACATCATCCTGAACAAACCAAGCTCGTCGTCTCATGCCATGTTGGAATCTTTAGGTTTCACATGGATTCACCCACAAGAGAATTGTTTCGCATATCATGCATCTGGTAGATTCTGCGTGCGGAGTGCGGAAGACCAGAATCTTGGACAAACCATGAAACCCATTTCTGGGTATGAGTATGTGTCACAAAATAGCGTGCTTATTGGACTAAAAATATATTACTGTGAATGTTCTATATTACACAATATCAAAATTTGGCCATCTGAAGGACTACTAGTAACTAAATATAGCAGCAGCAACAACAACAGCAAGGTACAAACAAAAACTGCAGCCCCGTTACAACATGTCTTCTTCCTTTGTCTCTACAAGGGGTTGGAAACAAAAACTGCAGCCCGTCGTTCTTTTTACCCCCCCGAAAACAACCAACCAACAAGTAGTTTTACCAGTAGTGGTGGTGTTTGTGCTAGTTCTAGTACTAGTGGTACGAATACTAGAAGAAGTAGTAGTAGTTGTTGTTGTTGTTGTGGTAGTCGTCGTAGTGGTAGTGGTAGTGGTAGTGGTAGTAGTGGTAGTAGTGGTAGTAGTGGTAGTAGTGGTGGTAGTGGTGGTGGTGGTGGTAGTGGTAGTAGTAGTAGTAGTAGTGGTAGTAGTAGTAGTAGTACTAGTAGTAGTAGTAGTAGTAGTAGCAGTGGTAGTAGTTGTAGTAGTTGTAGTAGTAGTAGTATTATCATGGTAGTAGTATCATTGTAGTAGTAGCAGTAGTAGTATCATTGTAGTAGTAGTAGTAGTCGCAGTAGTCGCAGTAGTAGCAGTCGCAGTAGTAGGAGGAGGAGGAGAAGTAGTAGTAGTAGTAGTAGTCGCAGTAGTAGTAGTAGTAGCAGTAGTAGTAGTAGTAGCAGTAGTAGGAGTAGTAGTAGTCGTCGTAATAGTAGTAGTAGTAGTAGTAGTCGTCGTCGTCGTCGTAGTAGTAGTAGTAGTAACTGGTCAGCTAAGCCTCTGTAAAACTTCTACTTAGAACCTCTACGACATCCTAGAAACAAAAGCTGCAGCCCCGTTGTTGTTTTCGGACCCCCACTCAAAAGATGTTATTGTCTCTACCCCCTCCTAGAAACAAAGACTGCAGCCCCGTTGTTGTTTATTGGACCCCCCCTCTAGAACAACACTTCAAAAACACTAAAAGCGGACCAGCCCAGACTTCAGTGAAACAAGTCAAGCAAGTCCACCTACTTACGAAACCAACATTCGCTGAAACCTTCAACCGTATCCCTAACCTTGTCCCTTGAAGTTCCAAAGTTACAATATGTGAATGTGACAATTATGTTGGGCGGCGGTTTTTGTTTCTACCAACAACAACAACAACAGCAGCAGCAGCAGCAACAACAACAAACACAACGTCAACGCCAACGCCAACGTCGACATCAACGTGCTGTCCGCAGTGCAGCACAGGAACTCAAGCTCCAAAGGAGCCTTCAGAGTTCAGAACCAAAACAAAAGATGACACGAATGTCCTCAGTTGTCACCCACACCACGGCAGCAACAGGACACTACAAACAGCGTACAGCACTACTCCCTTTGATCCCCCAGGGTACCCCAGCGTGTGGACGAGGCTGCTTGCGTCGCCTCCTCGGGCATGCCTCGGTTTGGGCATTGCATGGTTCCATCTCTTCCCAGAGGCGCATTGGGGCAGGAGCATTCCCTCACTGCAGGAACACAGGCATGCCCCATGTGTGGCCCCCTTACAACCCCACAAGTCTCAGTTGATGGAATAATGCTGCCAATCATCATGAGTTGTCTTTCATACTTTCCAAACTTGTCCAAGGAAGCTTTAGGGAGCGAGGTAGGGCTGTGTTGACCTTGTGCGAAACTAGAGCCCTGCAAAAAGCTGTTTAGGACCATGTTTTCTCCACGGCCATTAATCCCTATCCTGTATCCATCACCGATCCGTGCATCGGGCGCCGATCCCTCCCCCCTCCATCGGTTTTAACGGTTTTGGCCTGTGGTGTGGATCTTCAGGATGTTGCCTGGTATCGAAATGCAGCTGTTCATCGATCTCTCCACTTGCAGGGAGCCGATTGCAGAAGGTTTCTACAAGATTCTACAAGAGGAACAACAGGAGAACCAAGGGGCGTCTCCAAGCAGTAGACCCCCTTAACTGCCTCCAACTGTTTGGATCAAAAGCGCGAGACCCTTGTTGACCCGCCCAATACAAATGACCGATCACAACCTGTATACGGCCCTTCAAGCCAAGTATGGGGGCAAAGTCAGCATCAATGCACACAGGGCGAACACATCCCAAAAAACAACAACCATGAAAACCACTAAGCGGGGCCAACAGGCAACCGACAGAGCCCACGAAACAACCAGTGGACTGCCCCAGCTTTCTCAACAAGCCCACGCTTCTCAAAGGTGTTGGCAACACCCAGCATGACGCACAATCATTGGTTCTTTCATGCTCGTCGCACTCAGAGTATATATGAGTATATCAATATTAATCGATGCTTGCTGTCAGCAACATCGCAGGTGCCTTCCCCAATCAGACCAAAAGGGCAGCCTGACTAATTCACTTGCTGCGGCCGCCTTCGGTCGCCCAAAAAAATCACTTCAAGTGAGCACTTGGCGGAGAACAACACAGACCGAAACTTTGAGTTCCTTCGGGACGGACGCGAACGAGTTCCGAGTTCCAGCACCTTCGGACGACGAGTTCCGGGACGAGTTGGGGCCAATTGTGACGTGCTGCGATGCTGCGCCAAATCCTGAACTTTCTTCTGACCTCCAGGGTGAGGCGGCATCACACCCCTTTTTGTACCCTTTCGATGATCACGAAACCTTCCTATATCGACAAAGACCAGGTGACTTTCTGGGATGCTGACCTTCCGTTGCCTACAAAATTCACAAGGAGCTGACTCACGTGGCCCAACCAAGTGAAGGTGATGCGGGGGGGCACTGCCAGCTCTGGGTCTTTTCCCATTAACTCCGAAGGGCACTCCTGCGTCTGTGAGGGCGGGCTTCCCCGCCGGCGGAGGAAAAGCGGAAAAACGGATGAACCGACCACACAGCCGTGCCAGACAGGCTGAACCTCCTTGTGATTACTACGCTGTAAGACACTGAACGTCCTTGTGATATGCTGTAAGACACCAAAGTGTCTCCACAACCCAAAAGATCCCAAAAGAACAAAGCTATTCCTTGTGACGGGAACGTCGCTAGCGCAAAGGGACAGGTGCTCTGTGGCGCCGCCCGTGAAAAAACCTTCAGGGCCAGGGTGTTTTGCTGTGGCGGGCCTTCGGGCTCCGGCGCAGCTATGTATCTCAAGACTTGGTCACTGTTGGCTACTGGGACCTTAAAATTGCGATGGTTCTCCACAACCACATGAATTCGCTTCCGCACAGGGGATGGCTTCTGGAAACTCAAGGACCTTCAGGATTCGCTCCCGCCATCTTCCGCCCACAACTCCCAACATGAACTCTTCTTCGAATCAGACCGTCCCAGTAATGACTGTCCGACTGTTCCTCGTTCTCCTCACTCCGACTCCAGGCCTGACTCTGGCACCTCTGGAAGATCTGCACCCTCCAACTTGGGAGAGCCCCTGTCATGTCACGTCTTGGCGAAACGTCAGACGGGTCCGGGGGAGACCCTGCTCGACCGGTCGACGGGTTGGGAGACCGGGCATGTTGCTGCAAAGAAAGAAGCGTTGGACGCCTGTCAATAGCGGGGAATATACAAACTGGGCAAAAGTCCAGAGAAGTCTTGCCTTGCTTCTTCAAACGTGCCTTAGACATCCTTAGACTAGACTCAGACGACTAGCTGTCTGTGCTCTCAACCAAATCCACCAAGGACTCATGTCTCCCAAGGATCCCTCTGACATACCTTTAGGCCTCGGTTCGGGCACCCTGTGTTCGGGTCCACCGCGGACCACTAGGCTATACCGAGTCGCTGACTCGACGAGTCGAGCTAGTCAGCACAGACGTCCCGAGAGTCCGCACTCCTTCATACCAATCATCCAACATCTAGGAGTCAGCCAGTGTTAAAATGAACCATTCACCATCATTCACCATCCTTCACCATCATTCACCATCATTCACCATCCTTCACCATCATTCACCA